AGCAATGCAGAGCGAGAGAATAGAAGAACAGAATAGAACTTAGAATTTATGTAAAAGATAAATGGTTGGTGAGGAACCAATGAAATTCCTGCACAATGTTGAATTCAGGGGACTTTATAAGGGAATCCCAGGCTTGGTTTTCTCAAGCTCTAATCTAACTCGTGTTCATCAGGATTTGATCTGTCCATCCTGTAATCAGGTTTTCTTTGAAGTCTCACCTCCCAGCTCAAGCTTTCATTTAAAGAACTAACATGTGGGGACTGATCTGTTTAAACTAAATCTGAAATAATTAAATTAACCAAACTTTGACCACTAAGAAATACTGACACGTTCCTTAATCATCCTACAGTAAAATGTCCATTTTTTCCCTAATCATAGATCATATTATAGCTTTAGGTTGTCTGTAATTTTCAGAGAAAACATGGCAAAAGATCATTTCTAACTTATATGAAGCCATAAAAAGAAGCAAATATAATAATTTTATTTCTGTTTGGTTCATCAGTCCATTAGTGGTTACATTTAGAGAAAACATCCAAAGCAGAAAATAATACAATAAAACGATAGTTGTATAAAATAGACAATAGTTTTTCTTAATCATGGCAGGTTTATAAAACTTCCAGAGATCTTAAAGATCTTTAAAGCAGAAAAAATCTTTAATAAATTATTAACCCTTTATAGGGCAAGTTACCATTTATGATCACTTGAATCCCCCTTACAAATAGAGTCTGTCCCGTCTAGAAGCACAAGGTCTATATCCAGCAAAGATCCTGCTACATGGCTGTACATCTTATTTTGGCATTTGACCAATTAGATGAGCCCTTGAATGATATATTACCTGCTGTAAATTAAGTTGAAAAACAAAAGAGTTAAAAAGTCAAGAAAAAAAAAACGATAAAAAATGTATTAAAAAAATCAAAAAGTCAAAGAAAAAAGGTACAAAGCTAATTGAAATGTTTGAAAGTCAAGGAAAAAAGGTAATAAAGAAGGATTCCAATTACACTACTGGCTTGAAATGTGGATTTTCAAAGGATTTCACTGAGTGCCCTATAAAGGGTTAATCCAAAATGAGTTTCACCAAGTTAAAGCAGGATCAAATTCATCAGCAATAATGAACTTTAAACCACATAACAGCTTCAACTTTAATCTAGTTTAGTTCATCAGACTAACATATTTCACTGTTTTAGGTCAACAGTGACTCCAGCCTCTAAACTGAGTTCTTTGGGTCCCTTAGTTTAATTATTTACCACGTTAATATTACACCTTATTTCTATTTAAAGAGTAGATTACTGCTTAATAAAGGGTTTTCTACAAACTTGGTTAAAAAAAAGGCTTTAACCTGTGAGTTTCTCATGTAATGAGGTGAAGGAGTATCTATGTAGCCATCATCAGTGTGTGAGTGTGTGCATGAATGGGTGAATAACTGAAGGTAGTGCAAAGTGCTTTGGTCAAGTCTCCTGATTTGAAAAAGTGCTATATATATATATATATATATACAGGCCATTTACCATTTCTAGATTTACATTTTATCATGACTCAAAGGTAGTAGGGGATATGGGGAGTGGCGGCCTGGTTGTTAGGGCATTGCGCTTGGAACGCAGAGGTTCTGAGTTCAAGCCCCACTCCCACAGACTGCCACTGTGGATCTCTGAGCGAAGACCCTTAAACCCACACTGCTCCCCGAGGGCGCCGCACAATGGCAGCCCCCTGCTCCCCGAGGAAATGGGTTT